AGCAATCTCCTCCCAGATGGTATCCCCTAAAAATAACTCCATATATTGTATAGGGGAGAAGTCAACCACATTCACATTAATGCCTGCGTTGGCACTAAAAGGGGGGGATGTTGGGCTCAGCTAACTGTGGAGGTACCCAGTCCTCCTCCACATTCAGCGTAGCAGGGGAAGCACAGCTTCTTTTAGCAGCTGGCTCACTCACAGATGACATGTCACTAGACGTGCCGCTAAACTGACCTGGGTCAAAATCGGACGCAGTGTCAGTGGCGTCAGAGTCTGACGCCAAGAAGACATATGCCTCCTCCAAGCTGTACATGTGCTTCATGTTTCACACTAACAGACTAAACTAACAAAATACTAAACACAATATTTTTTTTTATTTTTTTTAAAACACTAAAACAGACTAAAACAGACTAAAACAGTAATCCCTAAACTAACTCCTGTTAGAAGAATCTAATGGAGATTTGGGGGAAGGAAACTGACTGACTACGACAGGCTATGACAGACTATGACAGACTAAAACAGACTACGACAGACTAAAACAGACTAAAACAGACTACGACAGACTACGACAGTCTAAGACAGTCTAAGACAGTCTAAGACAGTCTAAGACACAGATTTTTTAAAATAAAGTTAACCCTTAAGGGCAAAAAAAAAATACAGACAGTACAAATGCACTGTCTGTAACAGATCTGGCAGGGAAGGGGTTAAAAGGGATTTTTTATTCACTGCAGATACTTTTTAATTTTCACAGGAACAGCTGCTGCAACAAACTATCAGGATCTCTGTCTCTCTCCTCTCACAAAACGCTACAGAGAGGAGAGAGGCAGAGATCAGTGTCAAAGTGAGTGTTTGTAACACCCACTTTGACACCAGCCAATTGTGAGCGATCGCGGATCGCTCACATGCCGTAATTGGCTGTTACTATCTGCCTGGGATGCCGGGCAGATAGTAACAACGGGATTTCGGCGGAAGCGATCTCTGATCGCTCCCGCCGCCCGTTTTCCGTTAGGACGGTTCAGGACCGTCCTCGGTCGGCAACGCAAAAATGCTGAGGACGGTCCTGAACCGTCCTGCGTCCTTAAGGGGTTAAAGTGTTAGGAATACAAATCTGACCCTCTGGTTCCCCATTCTCCCCCCAGCACCTAAAGGATTAAAAACTCTTTATTTGCTCACCTGATTCCTGGGCCAATGTCCCTCGGCGCTCGGTCAGCGCTCTGCCACCTTTGACATAATCCATCTGGGCGGGGGAAGGGCTAATGCGCCTGCGTGGTGGGCCAATTAGGCTCTCCCCATATGAAAGCATTGCTTGGATGCTTTCCTATGGAGATTTTACAAACGCTGGAGGACCTCATGCAGTGTGTGAGTACATCCAGCGTCAGGCAACAAAACGTCAGTTAGCCACCAGGAAGTGCCCCAAGTCAGCGCTGTTTCTAGCATGAGGCTGACAAGGCATTTGCATTGGGCGGCATTTTCAGGGGGGCAGCAAAAAAAATCCCAATCGCCATGGCAGATGCCTTGCCAGAGCTGGCTGGCCACCTAGGGCCCCCCCGAGGCTGGCATCTCCTGATGTTGTAGGCCGGTGGCGAGGGAGCACTCTCCCTTGAGCTTCTCGCTGCACAGCAACCTTGCGGGCCCGCAGTAATGCTGGAGCCTGAATATGACGTCAGTCCGGCCCCGGCATCACAAAGAGGCGCGCAAGGGAGCTGAGCAGGAGGATCTGCCTTGTTGACCACCCGTCGGCCCAATCTCAAGCCCCGACGCGCATTTCAGCAGTAAGCGGCTCTTCAAAGGGGAGCTGCTTACGGGCGAAACGCGCGCCGGGGCTTGAGATTTTTGAAATCTGACAGCCTCAGCCTCTCGATTTACTGCTTAGACCACTCTTATTTTGATTAACACTAACTTTTGGGATTCTCTTCGATTATTTATTTAGAACTTTGGGTGGCTTGGGGCTTTGGATTGATTTAGCCGTCTGCAAAACCATGGCGAGTCCTGATACAGCGCAGTGATACACTGCAAACAACAAATTTGCCATTTAATTGATGCAGTGTTCTATCTTGCAGGGGGTTCTTACGTTAGCAAGCTAGTTGAGCAGTTACTTATTTGGATAGGTGCCCTCGAAGGCACAGTTGAACTTCACACATTTATAAATTCTTTATTTCATACATGCTAGCACCAATAGAACTTTCCGTTAGGAAGTGAGCTCAGTAGCCGATAACACAGAAAGGTGCCCTCGAAGGCACAGATCAAAGTTACATTCATCTAAAAGATTCACTTTGCAATCCTACTTGTAACACCAACTAGCACTAATAGATTTTACTCCAGCATTTTTTGCAATTCAGTAAACGCGTGGAGTTAGCAAGCAGACCAATAATTCACATTTTTTTTGTAAAGATTAATTCTATTTAAAGGCATCTCACAGTACATACAATAACTGTCTAGGTGATATACATTTACTGTGGAGCTTACCATTTTGATCATGACTCTAACATAACTGTTGCTAATAAACACTTGGATTTGGACAAGTTGTATCCATGCTCTTCATGCAGTTACAGCAATTGTATACTTTATTGCAACATTAATAAGTTACGTTATATAGCCCTTGCAAATTTATATACTGTACTATTTAATTAAACTTTAGAATTCATAGCAAAGATATAAATCTTTCCTTAGGTCTATTTACACAGACAATCTGTCTAAGGACATTTTGTCTATTGGTTTAATACTGTTTTTAAGTTCCATATATTATCTCTTCCAAATTCCCTTATCACACATTTAGGTTTTTGCCAGTATTTTTTGTGTTTACACTTTTTAATTTTTTTTTTTTTAAATCTATTCTATTATTAAAAGTTATGTTTTAAAATTATCCTAGCATAGGACAGTATTTCTCTCCTTCTTTACTCATATTCCTTAATCAGGGTAAACCACTTCACTGTCCTAACGTTCTATTCTATACTAAGCTTCCACTCTATTTAATTTTGTATGTCAGTGCATGCATCAGTGAGGGCATGTCTGTCAGGAAGAGAAATTTGGAAGGGGGTTAGGGCCCTGGATTTGTCATGCCTTGGGCAGTACAAAACCAAAATACACCACTGCCCCTAGTGTGATTGACAGTCACTAGAGGCAGTCTTAGTCCTGCAAGGTAACTATTGCAGTTTCTCAAAAGCTGCAATGATTTACATTGCAGGACTAAGTAGGACTGGGACACTGCACCCAGAGCACTTCAATTAGCTGAATAGTGTCCCTTTAATTATGTGTACATAGGAAAAGATTTTTATTGCTGCATTTGTGACTGTTTTTATATACTGTAGTCTGTGCATATATTACTTGTAAACTTAGTGGCGTATTTAGTCCAAGGCAAACTAAGCATTTGCCTTGGGTGGCACTAGCAAGGGGGCAGCAAAAAATGCCGCCCCCAAACGACCACTTAGGCATCACCCCTGTCATGGGGGGTCCCAGGGCAGGCCTGCAGGCCACCTTAATGGACCCTCCGGTGTATGCCTGTGTGAGAATCACAGGCGGCAAGGGAGCAGTATCTGTCAGTGTGTGTGAATGTCTGTGTGTGTCTGTGAGTGAGTGTGTGTGAGTGTGTGTCTGTCTGTGAGTATATGTGTGGGCATATGAGTGTCTGAGTGTGAGTGTATATAAGTGTGTCTGTCAGTGTGTGTGTTTGTGAGTGTCTGTCAAATCAGCGAGAGTCTGTTTTTCATTGAGTCTGTGTTTGACTATTAGTGTGTGTCTTTCAATGAGTGTCTGTCAGTGTGTCTCTGTCAGTGTGCATGTGTGTGTCAGTCAATGAATGAGTGTGTGTCAGATCAGTGAGTCTGTGTCTGTCAGTGACCTCTGTGTTTTTGTCATTGAGTGTGTGTGTTACTGTCAGTGCGTATCTGCCAGTCTGTGTCTGTTGGGGAATGTGTGTGTCAAATCAGCGAGTCTGTGTCTGTCAGTGATGTTTGTGTGTTTGTCATTGAGTGTGTGTGTGTGTGTGTGTGTGCATGTGCCAGTGTGTGGCTATCAGTGAATGTGTGTATGCCTGTCAGAGTGTGTGCTTAAAGGGACACTACAGACATCCAGACCACTTCAGCTAATTGAAGTGGTCTGGGTGCAGTGTTCCACTCCCCTTTAACCCTGCACGTCTAATCATTGCAGTTTCTCAGAAACAGCAATAATTACCTTGAGGGGTTAACTCCTTCTAGGTAGTTAGGCGACCAAAAGTCACCTAACTGATGCTGGACGAGTGGACGTCCTCGCTCTATGTCTGCTAAATCCCCATAGGAAAGATACCTAAACCAAAATACACCACTGAGTAAACCACAATTGTTGCTAGAACTTCACATAGCAAGGAAAATCTAATGCAATCACACCATTAGCAGAGAGATAACAATAGTGCATCACTAAACCGTAAACACAACTGCAGACCAGCATCCATTAGCTAATGCCAACCAGCAAAATATATAGATTGATGTAATGCAAGATGGTCAAAAAGCCTCTGCTGAGGCTCTGGCACTAAGAAGGTTAAAAACTAGAAATCCACAATTATCTATGGAACACTATCCATAAATTAGATCAGAGAAGGGTTAATGTTTGGGTGACTGAGAATAAAGAATAAACTGCACTTTATTTCTCCTGCCTGAATTGTGTCAACAGAGGTCATTCCAAGGACCAAACAGTTCCTAATACACTGAACACTGAATTACACAAAGACCTTGAACCAGTCTGTTTGCATCCTGTGTCTGGTTAGACCTTCGTCAACTAACCTTAGGACTAACACTGCTGTTCACATGCAGAGTAAATGTAATTGGGCTTGTCATGGCATACATCGGGGTTGTGTTAGTTTGCTACGATAGCTTACGCCTTGTGAATGTACTGTGATGTAACTGTGTGTCTAAGTCATGTGCAACACTGAATTTACATTTTAAAGTGACACTTCACGCCAAAAACAAACCAGTAAAAATGCAAAGACAATATGTACTTTTGACTTAAATGTAAATGACTAAATGTACTTTTGACTTAATTTATTTGGTTTTACTTTTTCTACCTCCCTTCTTCCACTATTGCTGCTGAACATATCATATTGTGACTACCAAAATTATCTTTATCACCCAATACCTCCTGCACATATTAAGATTCTTTTTTTTCACTAAACACTGCCATTAGAATTGTTTCATCAAAACTTTAATTACTGATAAACATTAATAATCCCAAACCTAAATTAAAAATATTATTTTGCTGATTTGCAGATGCAGATGACCTACACACCCCTATTGTTCCACAAACCTTTTGTAATGCTTGAATATCACCCTGCAGAGGTCCCAACTTAACGTCACTATCAAGAGGTCTTTTAGGACCATCCCGCCAGTACCTAAATGCATGATCTAATCCAGCCTTTCCAGCACATAGTTGTTTTTTATACTGTTAGTTGATTTATAAAGAACTAACATATTGCAAAGCTCTGTACGATGGGCATACAGGTCAGATAAGTAACTGGTAGCATTAGGTGTTAAAATATAGTGGAACAAAAGGTCAGAAGGGTCCTGCTTATTTAATAAAATCCCAGGAGAATTCTGTGAATGTGTTGCAGATTCCATGTAAATCCTTGGAATACCAGATAACACATGATGAAGAATGTATTTCTAGTGCGAGACCTTCAAGATCTTTGCTATTATTTTATGTATTGTTATATTTGAATACTATATGTTTTTTTTTAAGCTCTAAAAATGTAATGCAAATAATAAAAAAAATGTCTTACAAAACATGTGAAGTTTATTGTTGGGTCATGCAGACAAAAATTTAATACTAAAATAATGGATAAGGTGTAAGTAAAATGCATCGTCAGACAATCTGTAAATCATGGTAGAGAAAAAAGAAACACGAGGATGGAAAACTGAAGCGGAGTGTCAGGAAACAGAATAGAAAGCAAGGTAAAGGCAAAAGATTGGAATTAGGGACATGGCACTGGCTTTCTCGAGGTTACAGCGATTAGAGTTCTGAACAACTAAATAAATAACAGAGCTCTATCATTGGGGTATCCATTTACAAACACCATCAATGCAGGGCTGTCTTTAATATTGATTGGACCCTGGGCAAACATTTGCTTGGGCCCCCTGAACCCTGTTGTCCCCTCCCTGGCATGCAATCAAGCTCCCCACCTCAACACAAAGGCGGACATAAAGTAGAGAGGGCTCTGGTGCATGAATTATTTTGGGCAAGAGGGGGAAAAAGGTAGATCCCCATCTGTCGTGCAACTCCAACAATGCTTTGACAGCTGGGGCTCTACCATTTTCCCATGAATAGTTGTATTTAGCACTGAGCGGGATTTGTGTGTTTGAGTGTAAGCATGTTTTTGTATGGAGTATGTTTGTGTGAATGTCGTGTTGTGTTTGTGGAGATGGCATTTGAATGCAAGCATGCATTTATGTGTAGTGTTGGTTTATGAATGCACTGGCGTGTTTATATATAATTGTGTTGTTTAAAAAAAAGAGATGTGTTTATATGTAGTGTTGAAGTTTGAATGCAGGTGTGTATTTGCGTGTAGTGTTGGCGTTTGAATGCTAAGATGTATGCACATATACACATGCACTGCCACAAACACACACACACACACACACACACACAGATACACACACACACACAGAAACACTGGCAGATACACTGATATACACACTTATACAGATGCAGCTATACAGACACATTTACAAACACACATACACACACACATACAGACACACAACCTGACACACAGATGCACACACTGACACACATGCAGATACACACATTTGATACTTATAGATACATGCACAGGTATACACACTGGCACACACACAGATACATACATACTACAACATACAGATACACACATTGGCTACATACAGATACATGCACAGACATACACATTGGCACACACACAGATACTGACACATACACAAACAGATATACTGACACACACTGTGACAGACATGGATACTGACACACACACAGGCATACATACTGACACACACACAGGCATACTGACACACACAGACATACTGACACACACAGACAGACATACTGACACACACATACATACTGACACACACAGACAGACATACTGACACACACAGACATACTGACACACACAGACAGACATACTGACACACACAGACATACTGACACACACAGACATACAGACACACAGACATACTGACACACACAGACATACTGACACACACAGACAGACATACTGACACAGACATACTGACACACAGACATACTGACACACACAGACAGACATACTGACACACACACAGACATACTGACAGACACTCTTCAGTTTCGTACCTTTGCAAGAGGCTTCCTTCCCTGGGGTCCAGTGTGCTGGCTGGGGTAGTTGGGAGTTGGGGGTCTGGCTCTCCTTGCTCCCCCTCCTCACTGGATCCTGGCTCAGCCTCCCGCGCAGCCCGATGTCTTTGAAGTGGGAGGAAGTGATTTGCAGACGTCACTTCCTCCCATGCAGCCGTTAAGCAAGGGGCCCGGTCGCACTCTTAAAGAGCCACAGCGCCGACCGGACACCAGCTGGAACATGCTCACCAGGTGGCCCTAACTGTATGTATGGGCCACTCGGTGGGCCCCCTCAGTGTGCGGGCCACGGTGCAGCTGCAATGCCAGCACTGCGGGCCCATTAGGGAAATATTAGATTTTTTTTTTTTTTTATTCATGCCGTCGGCGGGGCCCAAGGGGCAGCTGCTTTGGGCCCCCCAGGAGTAACTGGGCCCGGGGCAGCTGCCCCGTTTGCCCCGTGTTAAAGATGGCCATGCATCAATGCAAACCTTCTACATGACATACAGAAACCATGTATACAGGATGATGCACATGACTGATGATGGATTAGTGGACTTGTTAGAAAGTTTTAAAAGTAATTTAAAAAAAAAAGGCTAAATATGATAACAATTGTCGTACATGGTCAAATATAGAAAATGTGTGTGTACATGTGTTTGTAGTGTGTGCTTATGTGTAGCAGTGAGTGTAAATGCCAGAGTGAATGTCTATGTATGTATCTTTGTATGTGTATGTTAGTGTGTGTTTGTGTAGAGTGTGTGTGTGCAGAGGTAGTAGTGTGTGTTTACAGAGTGGGTAGAAGTATGTGTGTGTGCAACAGTGTGGGGAGCAGCATATGTAATGTGTGTGGGGGTAACAGTTTCAAACCTTCCAAGTGCCCCTATCTAGGAGGAACTTTGGGCTCTGTTCCTCTTTTCTGTCATAATGTCCCTCTCTTGAAGGAGCTCAGTATTCTTGGTGTGTCTAACTGTATAATACAGTTACACACCAATAAAATTCACAGTGTGGATTTAAATTACAATAAATGTGTTTAGAAATCAATCTGTGTAAATAGGATACATTTTCCTGTTTGAAATTACGTTCTAATTTTACTTGCATAAATTATTAAGTCACCTTCAATTTGTCAGAACAGCCCGCCCCTGGTATTGTGTTTGCAAACGTTTTATATCCACGAAAGCAGAGTATTTTTGTGTATTAAAAAAAAAATAAAATAAAAATCTAAATGTTAAACAAGAAAGACAACTTTGCTCATATTTACCAAGGGTGCCAGGTGGAGGGCACTGTATACATGTATATCTCTCTCTCTGTTTTTTAATCTTAATTAAGGCTCTTAAATTAACCCCATAAAGGGATTCTATAGTGTTAGGAATTCAAAGTTGTATTCCTGGCATCATAGTTCCCTCTGGTCTCACCATCCCTCCCAACCACCCTCCACCCCACCACCACACCCCCTAGGCACTGCAAGAGTTAAAAAAACAACTTTTAACACTTAACCAATTCCAATGCCAATCTCATTCGATGCTGGGTTGGTGTTCTTCACCCACCACGAGTGCATTAGGCCCTCCCCATAGGTAAGCATTGCTTCAATGCTTTCCTATTTGTTTTTAACTTGCGCTGGATGCCTGACAACACAGCCAATCTGGCCCTTCAGGGCCCTGTGATTGCAATGGCATTGCGCTTACATGGCTGCATTAGCAAGCTACAGCACTAACTGCAAGGAGACTGGCTGAGCTGTCAGACAGTCCCCCATAGTTGGAAAAAATAATTTAAAGCATTTTACTAACATATTTTATATCTTAACCAAAATAAAAATATATATGTACTTTAAGTGCATTTTGATATCTATCTATCTATCAAAATATACATAGAAAGTATGTGTATTATATATATATATATATATATATATATATATATATATATAAATAAATCTAAATTTTTATATATATATATATATATATATATATATATAAAACCATTTTCCTGGCACTATAGAATCCTACAGTGCCCCCCTCCTGCGGCGCTGAAGTGGTTAAAACCCCTCCAGACACTTACCTGACGCCAGCTCTGATGTCCATCGGCGCTGGGTCAGGCTCTGCCCATGCTTCTCCCCCACCGATGTCAGCTGGTGTGGGAGACCTAAAGTACATGCGCGGCAATGGCCATGCATGCACTAGTATTTCCCCATAGGAAAGCATTAATCAATGCTTTCCTATAGGGATTCTGGTGACGTTGGAAGTCCTCATGCATAGCGTGAGGACGTCAAGCATCATTTAGATGACCAAAAGTCATCTAAGCAGCCAGAAGTGCCTCTAGTGGCTGTCTGGTATATGGCCACTAGAGGAGGAGCCCTTGTGTAACATATTCCTTCTCACCTTGCGGTATTTGCGCCCAGCGGCCATGCTTCTGTATAAATAAATCTTGCAACATGTTAATAGACACCGGCCGCTGCGAATCCATGCCAAATTATCCCCTCATGTCCGCCCACATTATTGACGATGTTGGCGTGCGCGTGACGTCACACAGGAGACGCTTGTGCACGTTTTGGGGTCAAAGGCCGTTCTCGGCCAATCAGAAATGTAAAGCACTTATTTAAGCTCAAAATTACTTTTCCTCATTGCCCTGTCGTGGTTCCCCTAGTGGTTGTTCGAGAGTGTGTTCTTGAGCGTTTATATTCTGTTTTTTTACTTTGGCTTGTTTGACTTCCCTGCATTCTGGTATCCCTGAATTCTGCCTTTCCCTTATCGTTGTGTCTCATTCTGTGTCCCTGACCTCGGCAAGCATCCTGACTATTCTTTGGTACGTTAGTCTGGCCATTCTAAGGCCTGGTAATACGTTACCTATTAGTCCTCAGTGTGACACAATCCTAGGTGCTGGATCAACTAGTAAACCTGACACATTGCACCCAGACCTCTTCAATGAGCTAAAGTGGTCTTGGTGCCTACAGTGTACCTTTAAATATTATGGTCATTTACATAATTATGTGATTTTAGTAATTACAATTTGCAAGCCCTATATTTAACACTGTAACTTTCCAAAACACCATAAAACCTGTACATGGGGGTTACTGTTGTACTTGGGATACTTCTCTGAACACAAATATGAGTGTTTGAAAACAGTAAAACATATCATGATGATGATATAATCAGTGAAAGTGCATTTTTTTGTGAAAAAAAATAAAAAAACAAATGTGAATCCTAACTTTGGCCAGGGTTTGTGACTAAGTGGCTACTAAAAAAAAAGACTGGACATAACCTATTTTGAAAACCTTGGGTTGTCTACTTTTGCAAATGGTACGCCATAATGGGGATAATTTGTATCCCTGGGTTGCCATAATGTCTCAAAGGCAACATTAGCAATCTGGCAAATTTCAATATGTAAAAACGGAAATGGGCAAGCCTTACACTTGACCCTGTAACTTTCCAAAACACCCCACCAAGAGATGGGATCTACTGTTGTACTTCGTCGCTAAACACAAATATGAGTGTTTTAGAGTAGTAAACCGTATAATGCTGATTATATCATCAATGAAAAGGCAGTTGTTTTGTAAAGAATGCAAAAAACAAATACGAACCCTAATTTTGGCAAGGGTTTGTGACTAAGTTGCTGCTAAAAAAGACTGAACATATCGCATTTTGAATTCCATGGGTTGTCTACTTTTGCAAATGGTATGCCATGATGGGGTTCATTTTTATTCCTGGTCTGCCATCCGGTTTCAAAGGCAATATAGGCCAGAAAACCAATCTGGCAAATTTTAATGTGTAAAAGCAGAAAACCTACCAGGACTCCGATAGGTAGAAAACCTAAAATGTTTTTTATTATCAACAAAAGTAAAATTAATGATAACATTATCGGTCTTACATGTTTCATCCCAACATTGGGACTTCCCCAGAGACCAATGTAAATAAAAACAGTAACAATAATAATGCTCTCAAAAGCAGCCTCTGAGGAAGTCCCAATGTTGGAATGAAACACGTAGACTGATAATCTTATCATTGTTTTTACTTTTATTGATAATAAAAGCCATTTTAAGCTTATCTACCTATCGGAGTCCTGGCTGGTTCCTGAATTATGATGATAACTAAGAAGGAGATACTAGCCACCTATCTACTTCGAGGGAGGAACCCTTGGAGCGCTTCTTATTCCAATATCTTGTGAATGCAATCTATAGCAGAGAGTGTCTCTTGTATTTAACTGTATCACACTATGCTTTGTTAATTTCTTTTCTTTTACAAATACCAGTTGAATCCTACATGTATTGTATATATTACTAAATATATATGTATGTCAATTTTATAGTATTAATAACCACCTAATTTTAGATATGTACTACAGATGACTCTGGCCAAGACTCCCAGTACTTATCTCTCCACACCAGCCTATTTTAAGTTCCAAAAGGCACATTATAAGTGCCAAAAACAGGCGCCTTCTCTGCCTAATGGGAAATCCAGCCCTGTGCGCCGCGAGGGACAGCTTCAAGTAAGTAAAAGTTACCTTCTCCTGCACTCCCAGGCTAATACAATGCAAGGTACAAAGTGACAATCAGGGGACTTTGCAAAATATGCAAAACTCCTAAAAGGGGACAGAGTGACTTTAATCCTCTAAAATGAAAAATAAAATCAAAAGTTAATTGTCAAGGTAAAATGTCACGAAAAGACAAATCTAATATGTATTATGGCAAAGTTATACAAATACTAGTGTTACGACATACCCAGAATTCCTAACAGTGGTATCCATGGTTAGCAATCACATATGGAAAATATTTGTGGAACTCTCTTAACATTCAGTTAATGTGTAGATTTTAACGTATAGTGAGCTTGATTTTATGTAGCCTGAAAAATGTTTCAA